CATGTAATTCATACAGTATTAGGTCGCTGTATCTATCAGAGTTAGAGAGCTTTGCAGTGGAAACCTGACAAAATATAAACAAGAGTTGTTGTCCGAATATCAAAGCTTATTACAATACCTCCGTGTGGAAAATTATTAGTCTAACTTTTGGATATGAAACTATTACTGTAATTTTTTAAAGTAGGTGCCTAAAAATAACGCAGAGGAAGCCTCTGTAATGCAGACTAACCTGGCTTTAACTTCTCCAACTGGTATAAGCTTTAAAAACAAAGAACATGCACAACCTGCCCAGAGCTGCAGGCTGCCAAGCAGCACTGGAGGTAGAAGCTGTGCAGAATTCCTGCCACGTCGCAGTCAGTTAGGGAAGGGGGAATAAACACTTTACACACAAGATACCTAATGGCTTATTTTTAGAATGCTTATGGAAATAGGAGGCAGAGATGGTTCTCTGGTATCTTTGTCTTTAAATCAAGGCTTCTTTAGAGCTGCAGAGTAATGAAGGAATAATTACAATTTTTTTTATAAAATAAACTTCTTCTTTGGCTAAGTCCTTTTGATCCTATTTCCTGGTATACATATACTGATTTCAGGGACAGATTTAGGAATTTTACATGCTTTAAATAGGACCCTTAGGATAGAAATTATGCAATAAGATTATTCTGTGTAACTGTCTGCATTAACATTTATATACAGGTATCTCTATTTGGTGTTACCATATAATTAATTAGACTTAATTAGGATAAAGCAGTATTAAGAACCTTGTTCCCCTTTCTTCTGACAGTAAGAAAACCTTACAAACATCTCTTCTAGGATGGTTTTGGTTTGGATTCAAATACTGGCAGAGAGCAGAGCCGCTCTCTAAATGGAGATTGCGAGAAGTGGATAGACTTTTCCAAAATGTGCAATTCAAACCAGGAATATTACTTGAAGCTAGAAGAGCTGAAGAATGCTCACTTGGAGACCATGGCAAAATTAGAAAGCATGTATCGGAATAAACTGTATTTAAAAGGAGTGCAACCCCTAGAGGAAAAGAAAAATGTTCCTTCTGCGTGTTGCAGGTAAGTTTGGTGGTACCTTTTAGCTAAAGGTTCTCAAATGCTTTGCAGACATCTCTAAGGTTTTTTTTTCTGGGGCTGGAAAATGTTGCTCTCCCCACTTCATATAGGATAATCACAGAAAAGTTGGTTTTAATAATAAAAGTGACTGTGATTTACAAGTGTGTGTGCAGCAGAGGCTGAGTAACGTGTTTAGTAAAGCACGGTGCCTTTCCTTAATGAGCACTGACTTTCTGCTGATCAGCACTTAAACTGCAATCTGGTGGGAGAGCCCAGTGTGCTTCTCTTTTCCCTTCTCTTCCCCCTCTCTTCTTCCCCATCAATGCTGTTCATTTTTGTTTTTAATGCTGATATCTTCAAGGGGATGTTACTGGCTTTGCATCGATGTTGGACTGGACTCAAACCAACTTTTTTTTTGTCTCCCCTTTTTTAAAGGCCAACCTGGCAGAAGAGCTCATATCAGCCTCTAAATTTGCACAAATCCTTTTCAGACTCTGACTTAAGTGATCTCTTAGGGTCAAGTGTTTCTGATGGGTCTGATGGAGAATTAGCATTGGAAGAAAGCAGTAGTGAAACTGGATCATCTGCATTTGCTAAGCAACGGATTGAAAAAATGTGGGATGGGTTTTCTGTGGAGGACTATGTCCCCCGCACCAAACACAGCCTGCCAAGCTCCCCAGTCTTCAGAATGATACGGAAGAAACAGAAAGCATGGTCACCAAAAGTTACTGTGCCCAAACCTTTCCAGATGACCATCAGAGAAGCGAGAAAAAAAGAACAGAACCTCAAATCAAAGTCACAGATTGAAATGGAAAATAACTTATTGAAAAAGCAACTAGAGGAAGAAGCAGAGTGTCAGAAAAAATTCCGAGCCAACCCAGTGCCTGCTGCTATCTTCCTTCCTCTCTACCATGACATTGTGCAACGAAATGAGGAGCGCAGGAGGTCTGTGAGAGAGAGAAGCAAACTCAAGCTCTTGGCTTCTCAGAAGCCATTTAAATTCCTTGAACGCGAGAAGCAAAGGAGCGAAATGAGGAAAATGCAACTGAGAGACCTTTCCTCACCTGAAAAAAAACCCAAACTGTTCAAAGCCAAACCAGTTCCTAAAGGTATTTATAGTCCAGCTGTTAATGACAGGCTACAGGAGGAAGAGCTCTACAGAGAAATCAGGATCAGAATGAGAGCAGAAGAGCTGCTACGTAATGCGTCTCTACCCAGCAGCAGACTGGCTTTAACAAACACCAATACAAAGAAACACAAGTGCACGGACCCAAAAGAAACAGAACAGAAGCCCAAGATCAGATCAAGTGTTCCAGATTTTGAACTGCTACACCAGAAGTTTCAGAAACGGCTCTTGCAACAAAAGCAAGTGAAACACCTGACAGTCTGTGAACCTTTTGATCTTCGTACTCCCTATATTCCTTCAAACAAGGGGAAGATTTTGAAGGACATTCAAAAGGATGAAGAAAAGTTGAAAGAAACACGCTGGCCATATACCTCTCCAAGGTGTAACCCTCAGATGAGACATTTGAATTCACACCTCGCAGGATTTGGGGAACCTAAATCACCAAAAAGCACAGAATCCACCCGACGGCGGCTACAAGCCATAAGGTGACTCCTTTCATGCTGCTCTACATTTTATACAGACTTTAAGAGTAGCAAGGGCTTGATTATAATATAAAACTTAAAATATTTAAATATAGTACTTAGTATTTACAATTGTTAAACAAACAGTGCATTTTTCTAAGAATGTCTGCAGGAAAGGGACACCTGACAGCATTTCCCAGGATATGCCCGAGCCACTTAAAAAGACACCTATGCTTGTATCCTCTTAGGCCAACCCTGTTTTCACCCTCTTTTTCTCTTTTGTCTCCTTTACCAAAGCTTCCTTTGAAGTCTTGCTCTTGATTTAAAATTAATTCAGCCTTAGTTTATTTTTCCACCAGGAATTCACTTGAGGAAAAGAGAAAGCTGGAAGAACAACAAAAACGGAACAGAACAAAGCAGAAACAAAGAATGAAAAAATTCCAGAAAATTGTCACAGCTCGGGCTGAGGCCAATGACCCACATCAGAGCCTAGCTCAGATGTCTAAATCCAAATTAAAAACATTCAGGTATTTTGTTGCATTCCCCTGAATGCTGAACCTCTCATTCTACACTGTATGTTAAACATACAGTGTAAAAAAATAGCATAGTCTAACTTTACATAATCACACATTTGATAAGTTATACACTCCAAAAGCAGATAGTAAAAAAAGTGGTCCAATTTAGTATTTCAGCTAAATATTGGAAGATATTTACTGGAAAATCGTTGCTTATTCTAATGATTTCAGTCTATATGTTCCACCCTATAGGATTATAGATGAGCTAACAGGAGACTCCTGTGTTTTCTCAACTGCCGTATCAAATAAAGAGGCAAAGTTTAAAATAAAAAGGAAAAGGAAGAGTGTAGCTATAGAATATCCTTGCACTGCTGGACTGAATGATGCTGGTACAGCTTTGGTGCTGGCTGCCTCCTGAAGCAGTGAACCTCTCACAGTTCACTTCTTTGTCCCAGCAGTTCCCCACCAAAGGAGGAAAATCAGAGGAGGAATATTACTTTAACTTAGCACATGTATCAGCAGCTAACCAGGAAGCTGCTGGTGCTTAGGAGGACTGGGATCCCAAGTTACCTTTATTACAGATACAAATCCAAAGACTGGTTCTACACAACTGAGAAATCAGTACACAGGGAAGACCATCAAAGCCTTCTTCTCAGCATGCTGTAAGCTACCCGTGCAGATGGCTCCAGCTCTCTGATGCTGATCTAACTCCAGCATTGCTGCTTGACCTTGTGTTTGGGGCTACTTAAGAATCTCTGCTTCCTGTACTTTTTAATCCTAGGGGGAAAAAAAAAAAGAAGTCAGTCCTATCTGAATGAGTCCTTAGCAGATGTTTATAGCCTGTCTTGGCACATGGCCCTGCAGGAGCAGCAGCCATGTAAGGTGCTGTTACATGGAGATGGTGAGAGATACTGATGGCTCTGCCCCTGTTGCTGCATGGATTGGCAGCACTCTTGGGCAGCAACTATGAATCCTAAATTCTAGCAACCAGGCACATTGCCAGTAACTGACAGTACTAGGGCAAAACAATGACAGTGAAGGATCATGAGATGTACCCCACTACAAGATTTATAGCTTGGACTAGCAACTTTTGAGTTACCATGCTAAACCTAAAGGTGTTTAGAATATGGTCCAGGATAGAGATATGTCTCCAAAATGGGGGTGGGGGCTAGGGCTGTCTTTATGGCTGTGATTCAGAAGGTTGACAAGATAAGGCTTCCTCATTCTTTATTTGCTTTATATGGATCTCTTCTTTCTTTACAGCTAAAGCAGCAAACTGGATTTATTCTTAATAGGCTTTAAACTCTGGGCTGTTACAAGCAAATTTGCTACAACAGTGCAGCACCACCTGCGAGACAATACTGCCCATGATAGTGATGGTTATTCACCACCAGTGTTGGGTGCTTCACTGTGGCCAGAAAGAGAAAATGCAGCAGAAGCTGAAGCACGTGCGTTTTCACATGCTGAAAGCATGAAGTGCAGCTTCTCAGCCAGGGTGTGCTAGAAGCAGCTTTGTAACAAGCGTTCGGCCTGGCCACGTGGGCAATCAGTGGCCGTCCAGTGTAAATCTGTGTCCTGCTACCACCTCCCCCCTAAGAGAGCTGAAGCTAAAGCACACATAGGAAGGGGCAGTGGTCTAGGGGAAGCTGGGCTTAAACAGCATCCTGGAGAGCAGAGATGCAGTGGTAGAGATGTGAGTTGAAGAGGGCAGTCCCTTCTAAATATTTTGTTATTAGTCAGAGCTCAAAGACAATTGCTTTTGCAACACGAGCAGCAGATACTGTTAATAACAGGAGCTCTATAATGTAAGTGTCCTTGGGCAGATGATCTGCTGACTCTAGGACAGAAGCAGAAAACAATTTGAGTTACAGTAGCAGGGAGAATTAAGAGAGACAGTGGGTGTGTTTACAGATTTGATTTCAGTTCATTTAACAGCAAATTTCACATTACTGTGTTTAGCTTAATCAGATTCCAGGAGTATTGTAAACCACTCAGGCTTAATTCTTGTCTGCACATAAAATTACACTATTACAAAGGAAGATTACTTCCCTAGTGCTGATGCATTAAGGCTGGTACAAGTGCTTAACTTGATAATGCTTATTTCAGCACAGGCTGGGTAATAACGTATATTAACCTAAGTGCTCTTCTAGCAGACAATTAGGTTTGTAGAAAACCACCCGAGAGCAAGCAGTGAAGTTTACTCCCTGAAAATGGTGAGTAACTTGCTCTAATGCACAGCCATATTACAGGAGTTCAGAGGCAGAAGTGTAAAATGCCCCTTAGCTCTCATATTTGCCCTTAAATGTCTGCCTTAGTGATGGTGGAGCTGGCCCAGCACAGAGGCAACATCACAGAGAGCTGTCTGTCACACAATGAGGATTACAGCCCATGCTACCTGGATTATCCACTGCTTGCTGAGATCCAAGATAGCTTTGCAGTTGATGAATCAACAGTTTCATCATCCTGCTTTGACTGAACCCTTGACAATCCAGCTAGGAAAAAAGTGTACTATGATCCACAATATGGACACCTCTCTTCTGAGACAGACTCGTGAAGTAGCAGGATTCTTATCAAACTTTAAAGTACTGCTTTTTATCTTAATTTTCTATGTTGTATTCTGTTTAATTTTGCTTAGAACAAGTGGATTATTTGTATGAAATCAGCATTTTAAAAACCCTAAGTATCCAAGATTTTTTTTAAAAGCAAAGTATCCAAAAAAAAAAACATAAAATCTGAACTCAGCCTCTGTTTAATTTCACTACCTAGGACCTCTCTCTGCTTATCCAAGCTTTTTATTTAATTATCTTAATTTTCTATGGTGTATTCTGTTTAATTTTGCTTAGAACAAGTGGATTATTTGCATGAAATCAGCATTTTAAAAACCCTAAGTATCCAAGATTTTTTTTAAAAGCAAAGTATCCAAAAACCCCCATAAAATCTGAACTCAGCCTCTGTTTAATTTCACTACCCAGGACCTCTCTCTGCTTATCCAAAGTGACTACTTCAGAGACAGTTTTGTTCAGTACTTACAGGCAGGCAATTGCTGTGAAAATGAAACCATATACCTCAGACTCTGTGGCCACCATAAAATAATCTACCTCATGTATCTTTAAGACAATATTTAGTTTTTTATGAGCAATTTAGCAGCTGTAGAAAATTACTACTTGTACTACAAATTTATTTCTTTTATGCTCTATTCCCCTTAGGAATTATGACAAGCAGAGAATGCAAGAATATTTGCAAGAGTTGCAAGAAATGGAAGAAAGAGTAAAACAGAGACCATTGCTTTTTGAAAGAGTTGCTCAGGTTGTCTTGCTTCTGTATTTCTTCTTAATCTTATCTTCAAACACTGCAGAAGGCATTTGTAGTCAAACATTTTTAGAAGATACCTGAAAAGTACTTCTGAGACCAGTATTTGTCTGTTTCAATCTGTTCCTCCATCTCCATATAAATATTATTTGGTTTTGTGATTCATTCTTGCACAGGGAATCAGGATGGCTGCTGTAAAGGTGTTATCTGATTCATTTACAACATGAATAACTCTAAGCAAAACAAAAAAATACAGAAAAAAATATGGTTTAATTTGGGAGAGAAGCAATAAGAAAATTCAAGTATTCTTTCTATGTGCTGTTAAGCTCAGATACAGTATTTTTTCATCTCTTCATTTCAGTACAACGATTTCATTTCAGTTGGTAGCGTGGTCCCTGACATGTTTCCAAACCCAGAGGCAGCAGGTCATAGATCTCTGGTTCCCTGGTTCCTTCTGTCTTTGTGGGTTTCTTAGTCTGCTGTCACCACAGGGCAGGAGCATCTGTGTAGACTGGAGGACAGCTCCTCACTCAGGTGTCAGCTGGAGGAACAGGACTGACACCCTCAGTTCCAGAGGCAGATACACACGCCTGTGTAATTTGTTCAATAGCACTGTAAGAAGGTGAATCAATACTACTTTTTTTAGGGCATTTTTTTCCCCACATCCACATCTTCCCCCTCCTCCTTTAATAGCTACATACAGAACATACAGCTCTTCATCAGCCTGTGGGCACAGGGAGCAAACCATATTTGAACTAGCACAGAAAAGGAAAATCTGGTGTAAAAATTTCAAGTATTGTTTTGCCATTCTTTCCTGCAGTAAATAATCATTGAACTTGTTAGATACAGTTAAAAAAACAGTATTAATAAGTTTGTTAAAAGGTAGATTTTTTAACACATTTAGATATCACATAACCATTGTGGTTTTCCTACAGAAAAATGCCAGAATAGCTGCAGAAAAGCATTATTCTAACAGACTGAGAGCACTGGGGATATGCCCAGAGTTTGTTGCAAAGAAAGGACAAGCAACTAAATTGCTACAATGCTCCAGTGCTGAAGATTTTAGTGACTCCACTGATGCCAGAGAAAGGTAGAGGTTACTGAAGGCTTTTTTCCCCCACTACATACCTAGTAATTAGTAATTTTTGATGTGCAAGGTGTGCTTTGTTTTGTTTTGTTTTAATTATTAGTCTTTCCTAGGTAAATATTTGACTATGCAGGTAGCTTTGTGGATGTTAGCATTAGTATGTATTTTTAATCATTTTCCCTGAATTAAGTATTGTTTCATAAAACTGAGGAGAGCACTGGATATGTTGTGAAATGTCCTTCGAAGAAAAATGAGGAAAAACATTTATTTATTCCTTTCACGAATACTGTTGAGTTACTTTCTGGTATAAAAGGGAACTCTAGTGTCCCCCACTTCCATTCTCCTCCCCTAGTCCCACCCCAGCCAAATCTGCCAGGATTTGTCCTATATTACCCTGAAGGTAGCTTAAAACCTACTGGAAAGCATCTTACCTGAAAATAAAACCACACACTCAAATTGTCTTTTCAGAGTCATCAGGGAGAAGGTGAAAGAAAGGGAATCCTTTGAGGAAGCAGCTGACAGCAGTCTTCCATCTGAGCAGTCCTGTGAGGAAGAGGAGGAGAGAGGGGAGAGAAAAGGTGTCAAAAGCTCCACCCAGGATGGCCAGTCTGGTGAGCTGGAGGATGAGGAAGAGGCAAGAGCCAGCCCTCGTGCTCATCAGCCTTGCCATGCAGGTGAGGCTGGCTCCAGCCCTGCCTCTGACCAGCATGGTGAAGAGGAAGAGGAGGAGGAAGAGGAAGCAAAGGCAGGCCTGTCACCTGCTCATTCCCAGGCAGAGGAGGAGGAGCAGTCAAGACCCAGCTCTCGGTCTGACCAGGCCCATGAGCGTGAAGAGGAAGGTCAGTCTGACCCTGAAGCTGAGGGTGCCTACAGATATGAGGATGAGGAGTATGAAAGTGATGACTCAGAAGAGAAATCCAGCAGTGATGAAGCTGACTGAAAGGAAGGCAGGCAGGAGGGCCTGGGGCTCAGGAACGTGTTTCATTGCTGGCAGTGAAGTAAACACCACAGAAAATCTTGGCTTTATGCTACTGAAACAGAACTCTGTGCATTTAAACTTCCTAGCTTAACAGCCTTTCCAGCACAAAAATTTTGGTCTATTTTCCAGTAGGAAAGATTAAGTAATTTTCACCAAGAAAATAATTTTATATTAAGGTTCTTTATTCTAGTCTTCTGCAACATCAGTGCATAAAATGAACTGTTTAATAGTAATATCTTGTATGCTGTGTTAGTAAGTAATGGGGTTTTAAGATGTGTAGCTCTTTCAACATGCTGGCAAAGCCAGATGAGATTTTGGAGTAGTTTCACACATTTCAGTACTGCTGGGATCTCTTCCTGCAGTATCTTCTAAGATGGCAATGAATAGACCAGGGTATGTTGTTCAAGACCTGTAATGGTTTTTAGCAGAGCAGCTGCTCAGAAGGCAGCTTTTTGTGCAGTTAGACAATCTAGTCATCCTAATCCATTCAGTTCCTCCCTCCTCTTCCCACAGGGTTTGTCTTCTACCCACTTAAGTGAGCTGAATTGGCTCAGAGATGGGTCAGATGAGTGTCCAGGCCAGGAAAGAGGACTGCTTTTGGAGGAAATGAGCTGTTATAATTAACTACTACATCCAGCTAAAATATTGGCAGCATTGCAGTCACTGAAGGCTCTCCCTACAGAGAAGAAAATGCCTAGAACACACTGAGAGCAGCCACTTAAACTTTCATAGAGATTTTTTAACACTCACAGACAGACAAGGTAGAAGGGCAAGTCAACAGAATAATATGTTATCTAACCAAGCCCCCAAACTGCTCTTTCAACTCCATCTTGTTTTGAAGAGCTCTTCCCATGATCATGGAAAAATCTCTTCAGAACAAAATAAATACTGACATTAATCTTCATATTTCTTTCTTAAGACAGTAAACAGACACTGTAGAGAGAATATTACTACATCAGATAAAGATGTAGCCCAGCAACTCTAGGTGCATGAAAGTATGGAAGGAAGTGCTTCAGTACCTTTTCTTAACCACTTGCTACTCAGGACTTCAGCTACTACACAAAAAAAGAATGTAAATGGGAGGTTTGGGTTTGTTTGTTTTTTTCCTTCTTTGTATCAGGAGTAACTTCTGTTATTACTGAATCTGTTACTGTTTCTTCCTCCTTACTTTGAGAAACAGTTTCCAAACAATGTTTGGAAGATTTTTATCATTATTATTTTTATTTATTTTTGAAGTATGAGAATAACTAATATGAGTTGTTTGAAACATTTTTTTTTTACTTAAATAAAATATTCACTGTATATGTGTCAGATGTAACAGTATTAATCATTATTTCACAAGGAAAATTAGTTTCCAGTCTCCAGTAATACCTGACAACCCCACAAAACAAACTCAAGGTTGGTTTCTTTGTGCTTGACAATATTCTATAGCTCTGAAGAGTTCTGCAATCAATCTGTTGTTGAATTCATAGCCACACGTAACTGATATTTGTCTCTTCAGTAAGTGAAATTTGTTTTGAAAGGTGGCAGGAGCTGAAATGTTTTCCTTAAAGATTATTTGAAGAGGTTTCAAATGAGAAAAAATGAAAATCTGTTGTTAGAGCTGACAGTACTCAGCTAAATGTTCTAAAAGAACATAAATATATAATTGTTGAGCTGTTAAGAAAGTAAAAAGACCTTTGAGTAAAAACTTCTTTGAACTGGAAAGAGCAAAAACAATGATTTTTTTAAAGGTTTTCAAAGGTGGCATTGGGGACCTGTGTATAATTTAGATTGAGTTTTTCACTGAATTTTTACTACATTAATGTTCCTAAGAACAGAATTAATGAAAACAAATATGAAGTGTCAGTGCATTTCTGAAAAAGTAAAGTAGAATCACATGGACTAGGGGATTCAATTGACCTGGTTTACTTAGATTTCCAGGAAGCACTTGACACAATCTGCAATCAAAGGATCTTAAAGAAACCAACCTCACTGTAGGAAAAGTCTTCATGAATTAGTAACCAATTCAAATTTTGGGAAAGAAACGGTCAATTTTCACAGTGTAAGTGCAGGTATCAGCAGACATTCAATGAGTTCCACATTGTTCAGCATACTCAGAAAGGATCTGCAGTATCTGTTCCAGAGAGCTGGCTGAAGCCACAGAGTTATTCAATGCAGGGGAATAAAAGGAAACTGACTGCAAAGAACATGCTGAAGAATTTTATGAGACTGATAGAACCACTGATACAGTTCAGTTTTAGGAAGTGCAAATAAATGCATGTGAAAGGAAAAAAAAATCCTAAATAATACAATTCTATACATTAAAAAAAGCAATTTCATCTTGAATACTACATGTGGTCCTGGTCCTCCCATCTTAAAAGGGATTTATTATGTAACTGGAAGAACACAACAAGAATGATCAAAGATAAATAATGGCTTTCATGTGACAAGAAGGTAGTTTGGTTTCCATATGACAGTATATACTAGGATTGTTTAATTTGGAAAAGATATGAGAGCTCAAACTTTGAGATATTGAAGGAAACAGTTACAGAAATCACTTTGAGAAACACAGATTTTCAAAGTGGAAGAATCATGAAACCTTAGTCAAAAAACTGTTGAGAAATTGCATTAAAAACAAGAAAGGGAATAAATGTTTCAATAAGGAATTAAAAAGTAGAAAATACCAATGGAAAAATGGGGAGAGACAGGTCACAAGGAATTAGACCTCATGAAGCAAAGTACAGCAGTGAAAAGTTCTTCAAACAAGGACACCATGCTGTCATGAACAACAGGCTGGCTTAAAACCCAAGTCATTATTTGACTTCTTTTGTCAGGAGGATGATTTACAACGTGGACAAAACAGGAAGAAACTAATAAGATGATGGGACTGAAATGAAAAGGACTATGCTGAAAGAAAAAACCCATAACTTCAACATGGAAGTCCAAATCCAGGTGAAAGGTTTTGGTAAATCACTAAGATGCAGAGTAGAAAGGTAAGAAAAGAGAATAGTGTATGTAGCACTTTGTCATAACTCAAAACATTTTGATGCAATTAACATGGAGAAAAAAGTAGTTTGATTCACAAAAGATGATATAATGGAAGAATTTTAAGGTAAAAAGCTCAGTAAAGGAGAAATTATGATCAGTGATGCTTTCAGGGAAGCTACCTAGAAGGAGGGAGATGAACAGAAAAGTTTCTCACAGAAAATGGAACATTCTGTCTTTAATATTTTAATTAATGGCCAAAGGACAAAAGTAGAAACGTGCAAAAATTTGCAAAGAAAATGAGAAAGGTGTATCCAAGAAAAGGATTACAAATACCACACAGGAAGAAGAGGATAACTTTGCATATAGATTGTGGTATTAAGAATTTAAAAATGCAAGAAAAACATTTCTTTAATGGGAATTAATCACCTGAAGCTGTAAGGAGAGAGACCCAGATGACTTCTTGAGCAACAGATACTGAACCACAGAAGGTGATCATAAAAAGGTGACAGAACCAAAGGATGTGCCAGGCACAAATTATTTCCAGCAGGATTTGGAGAACAGCACTTGTAAGCACAAACACTGCAGCTCCCCTTCTGGGTTTCTAAGTGATTCTCATGGTACTGAGGGTGAGCAGTAGCCTTGGTTGGAAATTCTGTACTAAACTTCACCCATTGTGCATCTGCTCACATCTGCCACGGGTGCCCACTGAGAAAAGGTGGATCCACCAGACTGGAGAAGGTTGATGTTAACAGGCAGTCTGAGGGGTCAGCATTATTGCTGGGCTGCAAGGCACTGGCCTGCAAGCATATATGATCTGTAGGGAATATACATCCCAGGAAAGGGATGAAGATTCTGGAAGTTAAGAAGTGCTCACAGGCAGTGCAGTTGCTGTGGAAAGGCTCTAAGACATGGTGAACCCATGAAAATTGTCACCTAAAAAAACACCTAAACCATATAATAAGCTATCAAGTTTAGAGACACCAGAAATGATGCTTTTAGCAGTAGCAAATTCTACAGAAAGAGGAATATCACTGCAAAGTAAACCAAACAGAAGTACAAAGCCCCCAGACAGCCAAAAATTACTTGAAGTTACAGCCAGCTGCAGTGCCCCATGTGACTTGCTGAGCACCCAGCCCATCTAACTTGCACTGAATAGAGTCCTAAAATATTGACAGGTTGCACATAAAGCCTATTTATACATATTCCTAACTATCTATCCAATGATATATATTTCTGTGTTTTGAAGTAAGAAGCCAGAAGTTTTAGATATTTTGCTTTTTCTGGGTGGAATCCCATGTGGTATTGTTCTCAGGAAAGTCACTAACAGTTTTGAAAGCATCTGAACATTTGTAAAACCAAAGTGTCTAGCTTTGAAAAACAGTCTCCAAAAGCACAAACCACAGCTGGACTCCAGTGAGGCTATGGGAGCAAGAAGAGTTGATACTGTGGACTGTTCCACAACATCTGGAGCTTTAGACAGACAAGGACCCCTCTTCAGGGGATGTTTATCTTTTGGCTTGCCTTCCAAATTTACCTGCCTTTCTCAAGCATTCTTTGTATATATATATGGTACTGCTTCCTCTAGGAACCTTCTTCTCATGTAGGTAATGACCACAACATCAAGCAGGAGGTTACATTCTCTTTTTCTTTGAGAAAAAAATCATTAGATTATTACCTTTTACAGCTGCTCCAAATGCAGAGAACAACAAAAGAGTTCAACTTCTTGAAGAAAATGTGTAAAGTCAGCACAATTTTGAAATAATTTAATTATAGCCTCACTTAGAATCTTTAGGATTCTGGGATGGAAGAAAGCAAAATATTTGCCTGAGTTTAACAGATAATAGGCACTCTAAAGATCAAAATATATATTAAAAATCATTTCTGAAAGTACATCTACACAGTTGCCCACAAATTTGAGTCAAACATCAGTTTTGGCTGTTACTGCAAGATAGGGCAGCTGCATGCTTACAATCATTAACATGAAGATAAAA